CTGGTAAGCCAGCTCATGGGCTACACAGAATATTAGAAATGGGTTAGAACAATATGTAAGAGCTAGCCAATAAGAAACTGGACCTAGCCGGGCCAGGCAGTGTTTGAAAGAATACAGTTTCCGTGTAATTATTTCTGGGTATAAACTAGCCATGCGGGCGGCCGGGTGCCGGGGACGCAGCCCTGCCGCTCCTATTTCAACACTTAGCCCTAAAAATAACATCCGTATCACCATGCCCAAGGCCCAGGGAATGTTGTGAAAGACGAAGTAGAAAGAATGTAAGAGTCAAGGATAAAGAAGAGCCTGTGAGATGTTGTTTTCTGCTTATCACATGGCCACTGCCATTGTGATCACATAGCAGGCACAGTTATATGTGCAAGATTTGTGCATGTATGCGCAAGCACGCACACACACACACACACACACACCTACATACTAACAAATACAGCAACACCAACAGAAAAAATGAATAAAAAAAGGAGAACAATTGTAATAAAGGTGACGGTGATTTTCTTTGTGGAAGGTGGAAGGTGATTAAGGCAGTACAGAGAATACAGCTATAAAATTGTTTAAAATAGAAACATAAAACAGCTCCCGGTCGACATTATTTTGGTTCAACTCTTCGTTCAGCTGCTTAGTTGCATGCACCTTGGCTGACTCACAGAATGCCCTGTGCCTCAGTTTACTCAGTGGTATAGAAATACAAATAGAACCTCAGGGTGTTATGAGGACATAATATGTTTGAATGCAATGCAAAGGCCTTAGGAGAGTGCCTGTCACATGAAATCAGTTAATGAAGTTAGCTTTTATTGTGTGTAAAGTGTGTGAGTCAATCTAGCTCAAAAAAGTAAATGAAATTGCTAAGACTATCCAAATTTCAATGTCTGATTTCACTGATTGATAATTCTTTAAATATTAATAAGGGAAATAACTGTACAAGCAAAGTGCCAAGGGAGACAGGGGGCATGCAAAATGAATAAAGATTGGGCCTGCTCCTCAGGTGACAAGCCATATAGACAAGCCACACCTGTGGTGCGTGAGCATGCACAGCAACTGGGTTTGCAATTATTCATAAAAGTCCCATGAAATTCTGTCTGCTGACATGAAAATAGCAGTCCATTATTTCTGATAGATTGGAAATGCCCTCTGCCATGCACAGCAGGCAGCTGGAGGGAGAGAATGCACACTTACCCTGCTCCATGCATCCCTCCTTATTTAATCGTCATGGCTAGCAAGAAGGGCACTTACCCAACATTCTGGATACCAACCATGATAGTGCTTACAACAGTCTTAAACGGAAATCAGAACTATTCAAATCTCACCAAATTGCCAGTGAAACAGGGTGGTGAGCAAAATGTATGTTCTATTCATTTCTCTCGGTCTTGGTATTTAATTTCAGAAGTTTCAGTGTGTGCCATGTACTGCCACTTGGGAATTTTTCAACCTTCTTCTGCTCAATGTGACAAGATTCCAGCCTGGCAAAAGCACCACTCTTATAATTGCTACCCTGCAGAATAAGGCTGGGCTTCCAAGGTGGCACTGTGTCTGTCAGGATGAGCACTGTTTTGCTTGACAACACGGGAAAATATGGAACATCTGGTGTGGGTCTTGGGGTGTGTTCTCTGACAGGCCAACTTGAACATTTTTTTAAAAATGTGGATTGAACTTGATTGAACCCTTATATTGCTCCAAAATACTTTTAAAAAATTATACTGTCTGATGTAGGAGGCCCTTATGTGTGCTGTGAATATTATTGGTGAATAAAGAAACTGCCTTGGCCTGTTAATAGGGCATAACTTAGGTAGGTGGGGAAGATGGAACTGAATTCTGGGAGGAAGAAGGCAGAGTCAGAGAGACACCATGGATCTGCCACCAAAGACGTGCTGAAACTTTTTTGGTAGGCTACGACATCATGGTAATACACAGATTAATGGAGATGGTTTAAATTAAGATGTAAGAGTTAGTCAATAATAAATTAGAGTTAATGGGCTAAGCACTGTTTTAAATAATACAGTTTCTGTGTGATTATTTCAGGGCTAAGCTGCTGGGAACAATAAGTGGCCCGTCCCTCCAACAACTGTCTATATTTCCCACATACTTAAGATAGTAGGTGTTTAGATATATGTTGTCTAGGTGCTATTTTCTACTCTCTCACTCACTAATCTGACAACTTCTCCAGAACTGGATGTGTTGTGTGTACAG